CGATCGGAAGTGGCTCGCCTCAAGGGAGAAGGAATGAAGGAAAGGGAAAATCAGGCATTATTATCAGGATGGTTTTGGCTCTTTTTTTTTGTTGCTGTTGCTGGCTCTGGTTGTCGTCTTGCGTCTCTTCCCATCCCCATTCCATTCCATTCCGACCCACTGCGTGTCATGCAGGAAGAGCCCCATTCATCCGCACTCACTCTCGGATAAACAACGGGGTTCTTTCTCAGAAAAGACAGAGAGGGAGAGAGCTAAGGAAATGGGCATGCCTTGAATGCGCAAACATCTTCCTTTTTCCCCCTCATCTCTGTCTGTTTGGAAACAGACGTGCACCGGTCAGCAAACACGCCATTGGCAATTAAAGTGCCCGGTCTGAGCTAGCAGCTTGCACCTTCCCTCGTTTCCCCCTCATCAATTTTGTATGTTGTATTGGCGATCTCATCACAGGCCGAGTCTACTCCCGATTCCCCGGCCATCGAAAAGCGGAAAGTTGTTTCGCGTGTTGGTCCCTTCCGGCGAATGTTTTGATCGATACCCATATGCATGGCTTGGACGTGCACGTGCATTCGGTTTCTTTTTTTCACCTTTCCCGTCGTACATTACCATTTCATTAACCTGTCGATTCCCATGGCAGGTCGCCCCGGTAATTGAATGCATGCATAGGCAGCAAATGCGCGATATCGATCATGTCCACTGGCATTAGGGGACTGCTATTACTTCGGCCTAAATCCTTTGCCCGGATGGAATTATCTTCACTTCCAGTATCTTTTTTTTTGGCGGCTCATGAAAAGGTTATGAACGACAGCTCGCATGCCGAACATGAATAACTTACGTGCCTTCGTGATGAAGGTCTCCGAAGGGGACGAGGGAAAAGGACCTGGTCAGCAATAAGTAGATCTGTCGTCATCGTGATCGACTATCGCGAAAAGCCATGTTCGATCCATCTCCGAGAAGGAAGCCAAGAATGTCATAGGGCTTCTTGTCTCCCTTCTTTCTCTGGCTTCCTCTCCTCTGGCTCAGAGCGAGGTGGTATTCCCGGATTCTCTTCCCCCCCCCCTCCGTCTTTGTCATGAAAGAGTGATGGAAAGATATTCTTTCATGTAATCTGAAAGCGCTTTTATGAAGGGCCACTGCAGCGAAGCGAAAAAGGAAAATCCGGAGGATATTTCCATGGTCGGCGTGAATGGAAAGGATCAAAGCGAGATATATTCTCTGGGGATATTAAATGAAAACAGACGATGCCCCCCTTTGAAGCCGAACCTCGGGCCGGGGGAGGATGGATTTGTATTATAATTGCACTTCGGCCCCCGCTTTTTCTCTGTGTTGGGGCAGAGGGTGGGTGCAGAATGAGAAAGAGGGGGACACTTTTCCCACCATCCACGTGATTGCTTGGTAAATAGGGTGATGGCTGTGATAAGACATGACCGCCGCTGGTCCCGTCTCCTTCTTTGTTCTTTGTCTCCTCGTCACAAGTTTCCTCCGAATTCCAAAATGCCACATCTTCGAATAGCTATTCTTCGAGGATTACTCGGCCCCATTTCGTTCTGGTTCGATTGGCTTTCCCCTCTGCAGCACGTCTCATGGGAGCTTTGATGGGGGCTCGTTGTGCGGAGGCCCCTTGATCAGCAAAAAAGGCACAGATGCTGCTTTTTTTTTTATCGGAGCTCTCTCATCGGGCGAATAAACTCTCTATTCTGAGCCCGTCCATGATTAATCTCCTGTCTCCTTCGTTTTTTTCGCGTACGTGTGTAAGTAAACACGACTGTTCTGGCATGAGATTGCCAGGAAGTTTGGCAAATAATGAAGGGGCCGTATGGTGTGTGAGAAGCCTTCCCCTTCAATGCTTTCTCTCTCCTTTTGAGGAGAAGGAAACGGCGACACATTTGAGAATGAAGAGAAGGGCGAGGCAGTGATGCAAGGCCGTGACTGGTCCTTAAAGAAATGTAATTCCAATGAGGGTCGAACTCACGACGGCGTGACAGAGTCACCTTCATTATACCTTCTCTTGCGTGGGAAGCCTTCATTGGAATCAGGGCAGCCTGACTGAACTGAGCAATCAGGCAGTGGAGTGTGGAAGTGGATGGGGATGCGGCTGATCGATGGTCATTAGATGTGAGGTCCCTTGGGCTGGGCCTGCAGGGAAAGCAGCATCATTTCCTCCCATGGATCATCAGGAATCTCCCCCTCCCTTCACTTGAATAATCTCTGAGAAAATGCACTTACTCCTCTTGCCAGGCTATGTTGAGCCTCTTCAAGTTTTAATCTTCCACTCTATTCTCTCCCTTTCCCTCTCAGTTCGTTTGTCTTCCAGTTCCCAGGGGAGAACGAACCCCGGTGAAACTTCCTTTGCGGCACTATCCCTGCTTCTGCTGGGGAGCACGTGGCCTCGTACCGCTCTCTCTACCCGACCGGCTTCAAATTCATAGGTGATGCACCTGAACAGTAGGTGTCTCTAGCGTCGAACCAGGCTCCCTGGCATGTAAAGCATAGTAATATGGGAAAAGGAAATGAACTAACAGGAAGATTTATCACGAATGGTCGTGCTCCAGCCATGCAGAGTAGTTGAAGTACTCGTAAGCCAGAGGTCATGTCAATCCATGACAAGAGGAGGATTTATTCCGTAATGATGATGATGACACGCGGGTCAGAGCTCTAGAGATACATTTGGCCAGCATCCAATAAGGCCTGGCACTCCATCCCACTCCCTCTTTCCTTATCAATCATAGAAGAGAAGGGGGGAATTGAGGCAGAGAGTTTCACATCAAAAGGGAGATATTCTCTCCCTCCTCCCGTTTATGAGATCACACGGGAACTCTTCAGCGTTAATTTCGTGTCTGCTTAATGCGCCCATTTCCTTGCATCTGGGCCCAGCTGTATTTACATTGTTATTACCCTCATGTGTCCTCATATGTCCACGTTATTGCGGTCCACGTCCAGGCTGTTCGGCTGCCGCACGGCTTTCCTTTATTGCATGAGAGAAAGCATACAGTGAATCAAGCCTTATGGCTCCTGTTAGACGTAGGAGACGTGATAAACGTGTCGAACGGGTTTACCCCGTGGTTTTTCCCGGAAGGCACACTGAGCAATGTGCCTGTGAGCGTCACGAATCGGAGTCTTGTGGGGGCACCCCCTGGGGGCATTGGGGCAAGGTATCGGCCTGAACGGACACGATGATTCGTGCAGACGCAGCATTGAAGGTCGATACATGACCTTACATCCATCTCTCCTCCATCGACATGGAAGCGTCACTGTGAGAGCAATGCATTCCAACAGACGGGCTCGAGACGGCGACACGGCTTGTTTGCACCTATGGGGGAAAAATTCTCGGCATCATCACTGCAGATAAGCAAGAGACACAGGAGGAAGAAGGTAATTATATACCTGGGACAGGATCCTTTATGCTGGCTCCTGCATGGAAGGCAGAGTCCATGACCTCCATAGCACTGTACAATGGGTGGGATGAGCCAAGACCCACATCCACCTGGACAGGCTAGCAAGGCCAACAATGCTAATTTATCAACGGAGATCTCTTCGCCTCGAATACCTTCCACCTGGGGGGGACGAGGACGATCGAGAAGACAAAGGTCGAGTTCCGGACACGATTTCATTGTGAAATCCAGCGTGTCCTGTCTACGTCTCAAGAGCCCTCTCATCTTGCGATGACAAGCACAAGAGATATATGATTTTTCTACCCAATATCTGCCAACTGTCGAGGCTGACTCAGCCTATCGCGAAGACTGGCCTTATTTCAAGGAGAGAATTTGTGCCAGGGAAGCCCTTCGTGTCGAGGACTGAATAGGGCTTCCTTCTTATCCCTTCTGCATATTTACTTTCCCGTGGTTCACATATGTAGACCGTTTTTGTGTAAGATATGCTCTACAATGTGGGCAAAAAATATGTAGGCCACATTGTTCTGCCTTTCGTTTCTACGCGAAACGAGCTGCGTTTTCCGGAAAAGATACAGGCGGTGGGTTATACGAAGGATGAAGGGGAAACCGAGTATCCGGTGACGAGTGTTTCATATGGTTTCGAAGGGAACCATGTGTGCATTTGAAAGAGTCGATAGAAACGAGGCGTTCCCGGCGAACACGTGCAGAAGATGCGATCGTTGCAAGGGGGGAACTGCGTCTGGCATTGCCCACAATATGAAACTCGGCTCCACCGGTTGATCCGGCATTACGTTGCACGCATTTCGATTGAAATCTACACTCTTGAGGGTCCCCTGGACGGATTTTATTGAGGCTGTATACGAGGGCTCAGCTGCGGGGGTCCCTCCATCTGTTACAAACCGCGGAAGAAGGGTTGGCATTCGGCTCGTTCGAGGTGCTTGCTTGGATGCTCTCTTTCGCAATCTTCTTGATCTACGTGACGTCAGCCTCAATCCCTTGGGCCCGGGCTTCGGCCTGCCTCTCTTTGAATCAGTCGAAGAATGACCCTTGGGTCCGGTCCGAACACTTGGGGACAATAGCTCGGCTTCCTTTAAGAAAAAAGAGAGAGAGAAAAGAAGAGCCGTCTTCGTGATGGCTAGAGTTTTCTATCGACATTCTTATCGAAGGAATGCCTCTCTCATCGGGAGGACAAAGGCGGGAAAGCGGGAGATGAGAACAAAAAAGAGGGAGATTGGCTGAAATCAGGTAGGGATATCGAGCTGAGAACGTGCATGGATCCGGCATGGTTATGACACAGAAATGAAAGGATTCCATTATGTGAGTCGGGGTGAATAGAGAGACGTAGGGAACAATGGCCGTGCCTGTAATCAGACGGCATTACGAATAACGCCTCATCATCCCCGAGCAGTCCAACGAAAATGGCGTCGGAGGAAGGAATATCGCGCCGAATATGTGGAATAATGGCCTCGGAGTATTGAATAGTCAGTCTCCCCTATTATGGTCGTGCCGTGAAAGCCACGTATATATCCGAAGGGGCACTTGGAAAAACCGCATTCCTTATCTCTCCCCCTTCTTTTATTACCCCGTTCCTCCCGATTGAGATTGCCTTGCTCACTTAGAAAGGTCGATTTCCTTTCTCACAGCGTGGAGCCTTTGTTTGTGGGACGGATGACTGGAAAGGAAAGAAATGTGCTGGGACACGTCATTTTCAGTTGCAGTTGCCATGATGTTCCAGAAGGTTTCGTCTTCTCGAATGTCATAACACGCCGTTGTTGCCAGTCGCAGACCGTGTCGATCTGCCTCCATCTCCAGAGCAAGGAGTAAAGCTGAGTCGTACTGCTATGCAAACTGGAGGAAAATCGTGAACAAAAGTGCTTGGAAATCCGAGCGAACGATCGATCATTCAAACGATGACGACCGTAATAGCAGAGAGTCCTTGAGCCAATTTCAGCCTGTTCGATTTTTCTCGTCCGTGTTCCAGGAGACAGCGAGACGACTCGTGAGCCAGGACACAAGCCAATCGGTCATCGGAAGGGCACACGTCCAACAGCCCCTTGTAAACAAAGACATGGCTAGCATAGGAGACGAGGGCCTGAATTTCATCGTCGTCAAAGATGGTCAACCGTCACGTGAAAAAGCGCCGACCGCTGTGATCAGAATTCAATCGTCGATTTGCATCGAGGAGTCTATTCAGGACGCCGGCCGCTCGTTGGTATTCGGGGCTGCTCGAAGCCGTAATGTGGCTCGCTTGGCCCTAGAGCAAAAGCGCCTCGTCCGTCCGCATAGCCCTCATTATCACATCCGTCGAGAAGAGCATGAACTGCTTCCGTCCGGTAATGGGATTCTCAACGAGGTAGTTAGAATAGATGGTGGCATGAACCACTCCGCCCGGCGCGACGTTACCTACCGGGGAGCGTTCAGCGCTCCATCGCCGGGAACGAGAGGGACCGCGATACCGATCCTTCCATCGACGACCCAGAATTAATGCTCCCAGTTGGACGATGTTAGCTGTGCGGATCACGAACCAGGCTGTCACGCCGTCCACTTGTCTCGGCGCGGTCGTGTGGAAATTCCGTGCTATTTCCGATAGCATTCATCCTCGTCGGAATGTCACGGGTCCCTGCATGGCATGAGGCCGACCCATCGCATGAGGCCGACGCAAGGCATGAGTCGGGGGTCGGCCGATGGGCAATTCTTTTGCGCTTCACAACGGAGCGCTCCCCACAAAAAGCGGCGATCGTGTCCCCGTCGGATAAAGGGCGGGGTCCAGAAACCTGCCATCGACTTCCCATCCGACGCAGAATGGGATCTCTTATCGAGCAAGATTGATTTGGGCATAAATTTTGCATCCATGGTCTTCTGCAGGCCAGACGTCTGAGAATGAAGGCCATAGTGACCCAGATATATCATTCGGGACGCATGAAAAGAGATAGGAGAAAGGAAGAGAAAAGGGAGGGGTAAAGACACCGGGGTCGAGTGACTGATATCGCGGAATCGCAATGTCACCCGAATACGGAGGACCCGGTAGGGAAGACGAAAAACAATCGTACCTTCAACAATCGTACTTGCACCGAGTTACAAGTACTTCCCGCACCCCTATAGTTCGGTCATAAAATACACGAGATGGAGGAAATGGAGACGGAGATAAAAATGGAATTCATGAAAAAAAAAATCCTCATCGGTAGTGACAGAGTGGCTATCGGAAAGGAATCCAGTCGATTTCTTAAAGAGCCGGAAGGCGACTATCCTCGCGTCTTGCTCCGTCATCGCTTCCTCGATTCGAGAAGCCACCTGCAAATAAGGGAAAGGATCGGGGAGGGAAAAAAAAGAAATGTGGGGCGATGTCCCCCGCAACTCCAGAGAAAAGAACTCGTCCGACGGCATGAAGTCTCATTGAAATTCGGGCTCGTTTCTCCTTGCCCCGGAGACCTGCAGGAATAAACGAGAATTTTTTTTCGCGCATTCCGGTTCAAGCACGACCGCTTCGACTCTCTTCCCCTTTCGAACGACATCAATTACTCGAGAAAACCCGCAGTCATCTCGAACCCCAAACGTACCCAGTCGCTCATCATCGATGGATCTATGTCGTCCGAGTACTTAAACACGCCTTATCTCTCCCACTCGAGAAATCGAAAACATCGGCCGTGTCGCAAGCACTCATCCCCGAGTCGTCGAAGAATCTGCCGAACGAGTCCTGCCGCCGTGTGGGCGTCATATTCACGCAGAACGTTCTCATCCTCTTCTAACAAGGAGAACAATGCCGAGAAGCCGCCAGCAATTTATGTGGATTCCACACCACGGAATCCGCCTTGCATGCGTGAGAGAAGAGACATGAGAGCGAGTTTTTTTTTCTTCGGCCGAGGAGCACGCACGTCTGTCCCCGCTTCCTGCAGATGGCATGCGATCGACATTAGATCAATTATTTCAGTAATGTAACTCCCCCGTTACATTGCGAATATTCCCATCTTTCAATACGCATTGCCCTGCCAGTGCCCCGGCGATGCAAAACGCGAAGTCATTTTATTTTCGCTTCTCATCGCTCGGGACGCGTAACCTCTCGAAGGTTGCCGCCGAGCGATCCGGAATGTTCGCGGAAAGCCGCGGAATGTTCACGGAGTGTTCGCCGTCGACATTCTTTCCTTCTCCCTTTCAGGCATCATTCCGCATGCAAGAATTCCGGCGTTCGCCTAGTGACTCAATAAAAAGCGTCGAGTCAGCAGAGCGGAAAGAGATCTCAATCGCAAAATGGCTTTGTGATGCCACAGACAGGTGCAATCCGAGAGGAAATTACCTCTTCTTCGTGAGTCACTTCGGCTTCGCCTGTAATTGGGCAGTTCTCTTTCTCTCTCGGCCCCCCGAAGCCTTTCCGTTCCTTTGACACGGGAGCCGTCGGGTCACGAAAAACGCGTCGGATCGACGCACTGCGTTTTGCATGGATCCCCGGTCACGAGATCCGGCATCGACGGGAGAGAGAAAAAAAAATCATGCGTGTGCAGAATTTCTTTACGAGATTATGCACGGGTCCCTTTCCATCACGCGGGACCCCGAATGAATGCAAAAAAAAAAAAACGTGAATGCATTCGAAGCACGCTGCAAGAGGAGTTAAGGCAACGCCCAGCTCATCGCTCTGGCAGGAGAAATCAGCCTGTCATCCTCCGTTACTTTAATTGCATTCGTGTGGAGGCTCTACGAATCGGCCGGGTTCTCATTTTACGATCGCATGTGGCTCTGAGAGGGAGAGATTTAGGGACACTTTGACAATGGCAAAGAAATACGACGCTCGCAAGGGTTTTTTTTAGGGCGCCATTCGAAGGGGTTGGGAATTGGGGGGGGGGGGGGGGGGGGGGGGGGGGGNTGGGGGGGGGGGGGGGGGGGGGGGGGGGGGGGGGGGGGGGAGATTACGCCGGCGTTATGGCACACGGACGATCGATTTGCGAGCCGTGACACGTGATCCCATTCGCACCATCAGAGGAAACAGACCGATAAAAAAAAAAGGAAAAGGACGGATGCCACCTTGACGGGCTCCATCCAGAAATTGCGTTCACGTGGAATCACGGACTCGAGTGGTCGTAAGTGATACGAATCGGCTTCAGAGAAATGACTGCCGGGTGAGCTTTGACCTACTTCTCGCTCATTTCTTTGAATAAATAACGTTCTTTTCGAACGATCTTCTCGCCAAAACCTGAAGTGGCGTTCTCGCTTTTCATCGACGCATGCATTCGTGTATGACGCAACGTTTGGCAAACACCCTTGAAGCGGACGAAGCCACCCGGTCATGGGGTGACCTTGGCCCACACGGGGCCAAGCGCATGTAAATGGGTAATTCCCACTTTTCCGGGTGACTTTGGCTCACCCAGTGCCTTATAAATAAATTAGAAAAAAAAAAGAAAAATGCAAAGAACACGAACTTAAAAAAATATGAAACATCAGCAAAACAAATTTACATGAACATGCCCTACTTTTTTTTAGGTTCGAGATTTATGATGCCGAAAATTTTCGAAAAACGAAACTGGGACAATGCAATGCGATTCCGATCTTCCGGGGAATTTCGCCCATCAACATAACTTCTTCATGCATCATCCGACATATATTTTCTGCTATCGAATTTTAAAGCGGGAACTCTTCGTCGGGTTCAACGATATGATGCATTTCTCGCATTCGCTCGGGGAGAACGATCGAAACCCATAAAAATGGAGTACGGTGTGGGTCGTAAACCCCCCCAAGACAGGATTTCTGGAATGACTGGCAGATAACCGCATGAATGCAATTACAGTCCAATAATCATACAATCAGATGCAGCAGCAACGATCTCCGTCTACCCCGAGTCACGTTCGAAGAAAACTTCCGAAAGGAAAAACCAGCTGGGGAAATTCGTGCGGTGGTCGCGGAACGGGAACGATACCGGAACGATACGGGAACGATAACGAGAGCGATAACGAGAAGATGCCAGATGTTGCAACGACGAGAAAGGGTTAGCCTTCGATCGACATCTTTATCGCATCTCCAAGGTCCTTGAGCGTCATTTTCCCGATCGAAACCGTGATGACATTTGACACCTGTCAGATCCCGATCCGATAACACAACATAGGCAGCACCCAAGAATCCATCAGGAAAAGTTAACGAGAAAGACCGACACCCCACCCCTTCCCAACCCGTCTCGCCCGAACCCCGATCCCATCCAGCCGAACCCCGATCCTACCCAGCCGAACTCGTTCGGGTGGATTCACCCTCTCCGCTCCACCCACGCGAAGCAGTTCGTCCGCCCCCCTCATTCTGTCTGATCGAAATCGTCCAATTTACGCACACGAGTAGCCTAATTGTCGTTGCTGAAACTAATGTCATCCCACTCGTTTCGTTCCGAGTAATAATGGCATTTCCGTCTAAAATTATATATAATTTTATGAAATATTTAGGGGCCTGGCCCCCTAAAAGCCCTTGAACCCCGCCCATCCACGACAGAAGTCGAACGACGAACGACCTCTCGAGCAGAGCCATGCGGCGCTCGTGCGGTGCTCGTGCGGCGCTCGTGCGGCGCTCCCCGAAATACCCGACTGGGACTTGGCAGGACCTCCATCGTCCTCCTTTCGGCCGTCGATGATCTCCGATGGGATAACCAGACGATGATCCCCCGGCTCCGTTCGTTGCGATTTCCACATGGTCTTCATGTCCTTTATCCCACATGTCCTTTATCCCACACGGCCTTTATCACGACCAGTTTCCCGAGCGACGGAAAATGGGGTGAACTTCTGTGCGGCCGCCCGGATTCGACGCATCTGTCGCTCGGCGCCCAATTAGACCTAAGATTCATGCAGACGAGAAAAAAAATCATGGTCGATCGCTATTGGGTCGCATGCCATCTTGTTACTTTCTATATGGAATCTCGAAACATGTGGTGCCCCGACTAAAGATTGCATCATTTGGATGGTCGTAATTAAATAGTTAATCGACCGAGCTTACCTCGAAACATTTAAACCACCCCCGGAGCCGATTGCCATCTGTTGACCCTTTTTGGACCTAATTTCCCGTTTATGGACTTTTCCATCATGCTCATTTCATCATTTTTCATCGACTGCCGAGTCTTCGAGAACAGCTGACCGAGAGCATTTTCCTCGTCATCGATATTAAAAATTAATTGGATGGAAGTACGAGGAACGATTCGGACCGTTCGTGGCTCACCGGGTCGCTCTCGTAATCGCAGGGCTGTCGAATCGTTCACACCTGCAGGTGGGGGAAGATCTATGGAATATTCATGACGTTAAGTGGATCAAGCGAAGAACATTGCGTGACACATTCGCCTAGATTGGCTCGCCTTGATTATGAACGATGACCGCGCGGGGAAGAACCATTTCTTCCTGTGTGATGCATGAGGCCAAGGACTCGGAGAACTCGGAGTGGCGAATGGACTCCGACGAATGAGATATTCAAGAGAAGCGCCTAAGAAAATGGTGCACCTTCGATGAGATTTTTCCAGTCATTTTTTTTACGATGATTTGTCGAGGCTGTTGTATATAGTTCACGACGACTGATGAATTACGCCAAGTTATTATTTATTTATTTTTTGAGGGGGAAGGGGGGGGGGGGGGGGGAATCAGCCCCCGGGTGGCCGAGAGAAATGGGGGAGAAGAGGGGGGGGGGGGGGGGGGG